ATACCAACCATTTGATGTCCATTCCTGCAAAGTTTTTTTCCCCAATTATCCTGTAACTTTTCTTTCTCCCGCACTTTGAGAAACAATACAATACAAAACATCAGAGATACAATGCAATACAATACAATACAAAACAGAGATACAATGCAATGCAATACAATACAATACAATACAAAACATCAGAGATAAAATACAAAATATCAGAGGTACAATGCAATACAGTACAAGCAGACATACAATACAAAACATTTGAGATACAATACCAACCACTTGATGTCCATTCCTGCAAAAGTTTTTTTTTTCCAGAATGTCCTGGAACTTTTCTTTCTTTGGCACTTTCGGACACAACGCAAACATCAGAGATACAATACAGTGCTTTTTTCATGCTGCAGTTGTTCATAGTTGTGCTTGGCAATTCTTCTTTTTCACTATTTCCCACCTGTCCTGTGTTCTTTTTCCCCTGAAATTGAGTTGCCAGTGCACTTATTGTTCTCAGTTCATTCAAGTTCCCCTTTTTGCAATCCAGAGTACCTTTCTGGCTGCAGTTAAACCTCGTCTCCTCCACAATTGATAGTGGCAGCATCACACAGCCCCTTCCCCCCAGAGTTCCCATGCCCCCCATTTCGTCCACCACATTGTCCCTGCTCATCAGCTGAGGGCAGCTGATCCTCTTGTTCATACATAGCTGGGAGATACCAACAAGCCTCTGGGATTATTTACCCCCATCCCTGCAAATGTGGAAAGTCAACTAAATGTGGTCCAACTTGAAAATTATTTTCTGTTCTCCCAGGAAGCAACCATGCTGAGAACCCAGGGACGGGTTTGGGGGTGTTTGATGCCCCCAGCCAGTTCTCTCTGAGCCAGACTCTGAGGACAAAGAAGCCAGGGTGACTCTTGTCCTTTGGTGTCCAGTAAGTACACAATCGCACCAGTCAGCAAGAAATACAGGCACAGTAAAGTCACTTCAGCTGCTGGTTTCCTTCTACCCAGGAAAGGATGCAAGGAGAGCAAAGTGACTGCTTACTCAGCCTTCTTGTTGCTGTCTGTCTCTAGGAGCAGCAGGATCTGAGAAAAGGTGATGTCCAAAAGCCAAGGGCGCAAACAGGCAGATACGCAGCACAAGGGTGTCCGTCCAGCAGTGGATGGCACAGCAAAGCCGGGCACAGCACACCTGGAACTGTAAGATGTGTGTGAGAGGCTAAAGCAGGAGGGGCTCTGAGAACAGGCAAGGGTAAAAATCAAAGCCAGACAAACCAGCAGCTTACCAGGTCCAGCAGTAGCATCAAGCTGAAGTCCTGAGGTCAGGAGCATCCATCGCACCCCAAGGTCTGGCAGACGAGGCAGAAAACGCTGGAGCAGCAAGAACAGCACTGCAATGAAAGCCAGCTAGGCCTGCACTGAGGGTTTTCATCAGCTGGGCCTGATGAGCCCCACCCAGGGCTCACCTGCAGGTCTGTGAGAGCAATCTGGCCAGAGCCTACTCGAGAGGAGGCCCTTTCTCCTGAGGAGTCCTTCCTTGCTGATCCTCTCCTGATGGTACCAAAGCTGACTCAACAGTCCAACAGCACCAGACTTCGCAGAAGTGCAAGAATTCAGTAGGAAAATGGGACAGGGTAGGAAAGAATCCAGAGCTGCCCTCTCAGTGGCCACGGGCTCCCTACTCTCAGCTGGTGGGGCAGATAACCAAGGGCAGGGGAAATGGAACGACGCCTTCTTGAAGAGGATGGGGTCAGCTGGCACCTGAACGCAAGCACCCCGCAAACATTTTTTTGGCAGGATCCCATTATTTTTCCAAAGTGGGGCCCTAAACCAATTTGCACTAGAAAGCCAGTCTTTCTTCAAAGTATGCCCTTTGCTAGCTGCAGAGTCACATCCGACCCATCACGACCCCATGGACAACATTCCACCAGGCCTTCCTGCCCTCCACCGTCCCCCAGAGTCCACTTAAGCTCACACCAACTGCTTCAGGGACTCCATCCAGCCACCTCATCCTCTGCTGTCCCCTTCTTTTGCCATCAAGCATATTCTCTTGACAAAATTCCACCAGCCTGTGCCCTGCTTCATTTTGCACTCCAAGGCCAAACTTGCCTGTTATTCTGGTTATCTTTTGGCTTCCTACTTTAGCATTCCAATCCCCCATGATGATAAGGACATCATTTTTTGGAGTTAATTCTAGAAGGTTTTGTAGGCCTTCATAGAACCGGTCAACTTCAGCCTCTTCAGCAGCAGTGGTTGGGGCAAAGACTTGGACTATTGTGACATTGAATGGTTTGCCCTGGATTCAAACTGAGATCATTCTGTCATTTTGGAGATTGTATCCCAGTACTGCTTTTCCTACTCTTTTATTGCCTATGAAGGCTACTCCATTTCTTCTGCGGGATTCTTGCCTGCAGTAGTATCCTTGATGGTCATCTGGATTAAATTCACCCATTCCTGTCCATTTTAGTTTGCTGATTCCTAAGATGTTGATGTTCAGTCTTGTCATCTCATGTTTGACCACGTCCAGCTTGCCTTGATTCATGGATCTTACATTCCAGGTTCCTATGGAGTATAGACCTTTGCAGCATCGGACTCTCCTTTCACCACCAGTTACATCTGCAACTGAGTGTCCTTTCGGCTTTGACCCAGTCGCTTCATTCTTTCTGGCACTACTAGTGCTAGCCCTCTGCTCTCCCCCAGTAGCACATTGGACACCTTCCAGCCTGAGGGGCTCATCTTCTGGCGTCATATCTTTTTGCCTTTTGGTACTGTCCAAGGGGTTCTCATGGCAAGGATATTGGAGTGGATCGCCTTTTGTCAGAGCTCTCTGCCATGACCGGTCCGTCTTGGGTGCCCCTGCATGGCATCGCTCATTGCTTCATTGAGCTACACAAGCCCCTTCGCCACGGCAAGGCAACGATCCATGCAGGGGAATCTCCAAATTAGATCCCTGCAAAGCACTCCTTGTGGGGCTGCCCTTGAAGATGGTTCAGATGATGCAAAATGCAGCATCCGGACTAATACTCAGAACCAGAACTCTGAGCATTTCACTTCCATGGGCTGCCCAGCTCAAAGCTCTGGTTTTAGTTTGTAAAGCCTTGCCCAGCTGGGGATCACAGTACTCAACAAAGCCCCCGCCTGAAGTGCAGCCTCCCGGGATGTTGCACTCACAGCTGGGGCCTCCCTCCAAGGACAGCAATGCAAAGCAGGGCTTTCTCTGTGCTGGCCTCCCCTCCCTGCAGTGAGATCCCCACTGAGGCCCGCCGGGCGCCCACCTTGTCACCTTTCGGTGCCAGTAAAAGATGGCCATTTATGCTGAGGCTTTCAAAGAGGCACACAGACATTTGGGGCAGCGGAGATGACCCAACCCCGGTGTTTTTACAAGGCTGCTCTTCCTCATTTTTGTTTTAGGCATTGCTTTAATGCTACCTTAAACTTTGTGCATTTAGAAAGGATCTTTTGGCATTTTATTTTATTGTTTTTATGAACTGTTAGCCCCCTGGAGAGCTTCAGTTGTGGGGCGGTATAGCAATTAAATAAATACATTAGAGCCATTTCTATGATTCTCTATCTTGATGCAGAGGTGAAGTGATGGGAAAAGCTGGACCTAAGACCCCCAGATGAAAGAAGATAATCCCCCAAAGCTGCCAATCTTGCCTTCACGCATGGCAAGGACACATTCTCTCCCGGGCAGTGAGAAGCTAGCTGCTTCGCAGAGCTGTACATGTTTTCGCCAGTCCTTCGTAGCTACGGCACAATATGAGAGCCTGCCTTGGCAGCTGGGAACACATCGTACCAGGATTACCAAGGCGCTCTGCCTTCCAGGCATAATACATGTCCTTTTCAAGTCTCTCTGAACAGCTGCCCCCTGTGCAATTTTAATTCTGTGGGCCCGCTCTGGGAGGATTCAGGGTGGGGGTGGCAGAGGAGAAAACAACACCTGGACAGGTAATATTATTTTTTATTTATTTATTTATGAAAACATTTTTATGCCGCCCCATTCACCGAAGCCTTGGGGCAGCTTACAACAATAAATAGACCGCCAGCCTTTCCGTGTCATTGTCCAGCAAGCTCGGTGCATGAAAGAACACAACGGGGTTATTACAATGCAGATTTCTTTTCCGAAGGCCGGCTGCATGGAGTGGCTTTGTGCTCTCCTGAAAAACACTGTACACTTTTACGGCACTTCTAGTAGGTACAAGAAATCTTAAGAGTGGAAGAGGTGGGAGAAATGAGCAGCTGCTGCCTCTCTTTTGCAAGGATCCCGTTTGGGAGCACCGCAAGTGGCTCCATGCGAAGCGGGAGGGGTCTGTTGTGCAGGGGAGAGGATTCTCTGTGAATGCCACGGGGTGCGTGGGAGTGGGAACAAAGCTCCCGCTGCCGCCGTGGCCTTCGTGGAACAGAGGCCTATCCTCCTTGAGTCGGGTCAACCCCCTTCCTATGGGAAGCCCCAGGGCCAAAAGTCCCGTTGGCCAACTCGGTGCCAGTCTCTTCCTGAGTTTACAGCCGGGAAGCGGAGGCGAAGAGCGGCCAACCTCGCAAGGTGTTGTGAGAGCAGGGAATTGCTCTTTTCTCCGGGCTACAGAGGACTAGCTCTGTGAGAATATTTGGCAGGATCAAAAAGATCATCTCTCCCTTTTTCAGCCCTCGCACTGCCGTTGGCCAGTCAGCTGACCGAGGAAGACGAAAAGGTAAGATGGGGGAAACAGGAAGAGAAAGCTCTGCGGCATCAGCGGACAGAAGCAGGCAAGAAAGTTAAATGGGGAGATCCAAGGAAGGCACAGCTGACCACGGCAGCACAGGGCAGCCTTCCTCCACCTGGCGTGTTCCGGATGTGTTTGACTCCAAGACAGTTCCTGTTGTAAAGAGACCTTGCTTATGGTCTACTGAGTGATGGGAATTGTAGTCCAAGATATTTGGAGGGTACTGGGTTGCATAAAGGCTGTTTATAGCTTAGAGAAGGGGTGAGGGAGAGTGAGGAATTGATTATAACCCAGCTTTAAAACAGCACACCTGTGGTTAGACCTGGGCATGTGAAATGTATGTATGTCAAGGATGCCGCATTGCACTCTGGGAGGCCGGACAGAGAAACACGAAGGGGTGAATGATAGAAAAGAGGCTTTGGGAAACACTGAGTGTGCTGCCTCTTTCTGGCAGGGCTGCTGGGGCAGGCAGGAATTCAACAGGCAGAGCCGCTCCCACAGATGTGTCTCTCTCTGCTTCCACGGCTGAGCTGCCGCCTGCCCCAGAACCGTTATCAACATGGAAACCTTAGACAGAAAGAGAAAGGGGTGGCCACCGCTATTTCCCCCAAGTTTGTGGGAGGGAGGGAGAGTGAAACCAGCAAGGTAAAGCAATTCCTGGGTCTGACAGGCCGCTTCCAGCCCTCATCTCCCGTCTTCCTGCCCAGGTTACCAAATGCATCACGGAGATCCTGGCTGATGCGCTCACCAGGCCCAGTCCGGTCCCAGCAACCAACGAATGCATGAAGATACTTCGGGAAGGTAAGCGCTGGTGGCTCGTGCAGTGGACCTGCCTTGGGAGTGTCTAGGGAGGTCTCGGAGCTCTGCGTGGACGCAAGGAAGTGTGTGGATGCAAGTAGCTGGTAGAGCTGCTGCAATGCCTGGAGTTTTGACCCTTTGCGCGGCTCCGGTCAGCGCGCCAGAGTCTGTTCGGCTAATCGCCTCTGGATTTGCTCACGCTGTGGCGTGTCCAGGATGCTGTCCCACAGAGGCCGGCCGAGGCAAACCCACGGGCTGGACGCGAGGGTGGCTGCGCCCTCCCGCCCATGCTCCCCGGCCTCTGATGTGCACAGGTGCATGACACCCTGCCACGCCTCCTGTGATCACCTGCCTCTGTTTCAGATGAGCGGGTCCTCGCCATGCTGCACCACCAACATCTCCTGACTGAGCTGGAGGAACTCGCGCAGCAAGGTAAAGGGGCCGCCCGACCCTCGTCCTCTCCCTTGGAGGGGCAGGAAGGTCTTTGTGAGTCTGGAAGTCGGCTCTTTCCCGGGACCACGATCGATCGGGGTGGCTCGGCCCTTGGGCGCTCCCTCCCACTCGGGTGTCTTGCTGCATAGGGCCTCTGGCAGCTGCAGACATCCTCCAGAAATGGAATGAGCTGCTTTTTCTGGTCCTGCCTAATAGTTCGGTTTAAAAACCAGCCAACCCTGTGGTCAGGAAATGCGGCTGCTCCGTGTTTTCTCCAGGGGAGCCTTTCCCCCAAAAGCTACCATGCGTCGAATCTGGAGCTTTTGGCACGTCGCATTTTGGGAAAGTGAAGACAGCCACTGCGACTGTGGCTGCCGAAGGGGCGGGAGTGGGCAGCTCAGACAGCGAGGCCCTGTGGTACAAGCATCACTGATAATGCGGCCCTGTCCTACATGGTGTTGGTCAGATCATATAGTGAAAAAGACCCTCCTGCTGGGAGGAAATGACCCCAAAGCATTTGGGGGAAACATCTGTAAGAAAACACACAAGGGGCTGGTGTTCTCAGAGGCAGAATATTTTTCTTCCCTGTCTCTTCACGAAAACTTTGCCATCCTCTCTTTCGCTGCCTTCTGTCCATTTCCCCAGAAAACATGAAGCATCGTCTGGGACAGCAAGGCAGCCGTGCTGCTTGGGAAAGAGGAGAGGAGGAGCAGGAAGACGTGAAGAAGAGGGGCAGCACACCCACCCAACAGAAAGAGGCTGCCTCCGAGGAGATGCGGCAGGAAAATGGGGAAAGGAAGAACGAAGAGCGGGCGTTCAGGGAGTATGAGAAGACTGAAGAGAAGGTGACGGAAGCGGGTGTTTCTCAAGGAGAAGAGGACCAGGCGGCTTTTGAGAAGGAAGCCAAGGCGGTGATGGAAGGGACGGATGAGGAGGAGGAAGAGATGAGGAAGAAGAAGAGTTCCTCAGAGACATGGTCTTCTAAGGAGTATTTTGGCCACGTCAAGAAGAGAGGTCCTAGGCAGCCGAGGATCAAGGAGGTGATGCTTCACAGGGATGCGGATGTTAGAAAGAGGAGCGGGTTAGTCAAGAGGCACTTTAGACTCGAGGAGGAAGAGGAAGACAATCACCCAGAAGAGGAGCCAAAAAAGTACCATCACCAGGGAGGCAATGAAGGCCACCGCCATGACGCCTGGGAGGAGGAGGAGGAGGAGGAAGAGAAGAGGTCTGATCTGTCCCAGCGAGTGGCTGAGAAGGCCAGTGATGAGGAAACAGCCCAGTTTGAGGAGGAAGAGAAAGGGGTAACGTTCTCCAGCTCCCAGGCCCACCTCCATGGGGACTGGAAGCCGTGGCAGGAAGGGGAGGCAGAAGAGAAAGAAGGTGGGGTGAGGCATGGACACCACCGTAAGCCGTCTGCGTCGGACCTCAAGAAGAGACACCAGAAGGATGCAGGTTATCCAAAGGGCAGGCACCATGGCCACGACGAGGACGAGGACGGCGGGGAGGCCAGCCAGAACCAGGTCAGTGCTTCACCCGCATGCCAGGCCTTGTGGCTCAGTAGGCGGAGTTCTGCTTCGATGAGAGTCCCGCAACTCTCCCAGGTGAAGCAGGCGGCCAAATTCGTTGCGCTGCTGCCGCCGTCCTCCACAGCTGGAGCCAACAGCCACGTTCGGAAGCCGTGGGTGACTGGTTCCCTTACTCTAGCGTAAGCATACACACCTGCAGTTCAGACTGGGGCTCTGGCTGCCCAGGAAGCGGGACAAGCAAACTGTCCCGGATCTATTTCCATCCCAGAATTCTGCTCCTCTGCCTCGTGGGGTATGCATGACAAAAGAGAAGCCTCAACTGGAGGCCGTACAGTTTCTCTCTCTCTTATTTTTAGCTCCACCACCCCCCTGGGCAAGCAAAATTGCACGTGGGGAAGCTTTAGTCCCTCGCTGAGCACCAGGGCCCCGTCTGAAGGCAGGCCGCATGTGCTTGCACTGGAGTAAAGACACTCCTTCCTCACACATGGCTCCATCGTGTGTCATTAGAAGAGCATTTTCTTTGTCCCAAAGAGAAGGGGGCTCCCAGGTTTGCGGGAATCATGAGGGATGGGGTGTCTTTGAGGATCACTTCTTAAAGGTGCGTGAGCGGCTGGGCAGGGAGCTTGCTGTCCAAAGCCTGACCTGGCGGCCAGCGAGAGGCCTTTGCTCGCAGCCCCCCGTCTGCCGCAGCCCCGTTGTCACTCAGGTGGTGGACACCGCACAGGAGCCAAGTGTGTTGCTTTGCCGCTGGGTCACGGCGACCCTCCCGTAGTGTAGGGATGTGAGGCCGTGTCTTGCCCGCACACGTTCCGGGGACCCCTCTCATCACAAGCTCTCTCCATTCAGGTCGAAGAGCTGGAGGCCCTGGAAGAAATCGAGCGGGACCTGAAGAGGGCTGCGAAGAAGCTCGAGGAACTGAAGAGGGGCTGATCCCGTCAGCTTTCTC